ATTGCGTAGAACAAACAACAAAATTTTTGGAACGGATAAATTATATTATATATATACACAATGAAGAAGAGTCTAAGACTTGAAACACTGGTAATTGTTCAAGTCTGTTTATGTTTCTGCTTTATAATCATGTTTTGTCTCCCTCTCAGCCACACCCAGTGGATCGAGTTGGGACAAAACAATGATAGGTTAGTCACAAAACATGTGTTGTTCTCTCTATCTCTCGAATTAACAACTGAGAGAGAGTTAAGATTTTTGCAAAACAAGAATTAGCAATATATTTAAGCTCTCCTATCTACATACACACTTACTAGAACGCGTTACGCATATACAAACACAAATGTAGTAATGTTTAGATATACCAAAAGGCGAATGGGTAGTGTGTGAAAATCAATAATTAACAAGTACGAGTTGTATGCATATAGAATAATTCGAAATTCTAATATACACAATCTAGTGCCTTTATTTTATTCAACAATTAATAATAATCACTGCAAAAAGAACTTTAGATAACCATTTCGAATTAGGTATACTATTTTTTTTTAGAATGGTTAACAGCTTCTTTTTTGTAACTGAGAATGGTTTACAGTTAACACATGAACAAATGGGAAAACACATGGGCTGGGATGAAAATATTGATTTTTGAACTTTATATGTAAATAATGTAAAAACATATATATATATATATATATATATTTAACAAACACAGTTCTATATTTTGTTTACGTTAAAGATATACAGCCATACCAGTCGACAGAGATATAAACAACTTTGTTATTACTAAGAGAAAAACGCTTTGTTTTCTTTCGTCCTATTATTTCTTAATTCTCATCTTCCTTTTCACTTTTCTTCCTCTTTTTGTTTATTTCTTTGCTTGTTTTATATCTTTGCTTATTTTATTTATTTCCTTAAAGCGAAAATCGTATATATATATATACTCTCATATTACTAAGCTTTTGTTGGCTTTTGCAGAGAGGCACGTTTGCATGGGAAGCTAATCGATAATGTTGCAGAAATTATGCTACCTTCTGAGGTACGATTCATCTTTTTCTGCAAATATAACTACGTACACACGTATATGTATATATATATATACACGTATATACTGTACTAATATTAATTTTATTTATGCATTGTCGATTTATTTATGGGTTTGAAAATAAAAAGTCACCCGAAACCCTCAAAAGGGGTGCAACAAAAAGGGCTTTCATTAAAGCTTGCTTTAAGAATTTTCAAAAGCAAAAGGTATTTTCGTTATTTAGACATTTATAGGAAAATAAAGAAAAACTAACCCCATTGACATTGACCACGAGGAGTTTTTGTTTTGACCTTGACACGCACATATTGTGACTCGTGAAAGCTTACGCCTTGAGGTGCGGTTATCTAAGTTTGAAGCCAATATGGGTAAAAGCAAAACCATGGCAGCTACCACTGAACAATTGGAATAGATTTAAATATTCGTGTCAATGTCAAATACTAGTAATTAGGACAATAAATCGGTTTTAGCTTAGATGTTCGTACGAATGTCATAATTATCTACTGCATAATACAATAACTGTAAACACTATATATGTAACATTACAATCCCTTACACTTAGTGTTTTATGGGATTCTACACTTTTTTATTTTATCTATCAAGACATTTAATAAAGATATAAATAATACCGTTGGGATGAATATATTTTTTTTTTTTGAGCAAATACCGTTGGGATGAATAACTATTACAATGGAAGTATAAATTTGCTTGAGCTTCACCTTTCTCCCTTTGTCGATAGTTTGAGATTATGTCCATGATCACTTTCCATTCATATAATTACTATACATATTTTTTAGAACTATATAATTATCATACATATTAAGTTATTAACATATATACAATGCAAACTATTAATCACATTATATATTTTTAGCTAATTGTTTTTGTTTGGGGTTTTAATTAAACAGAAGGAAGTAGATGAAAAGTGTTTAACTTATGAGAGGAAATCATCGGAAGAGATAAGCTCATCAAACATCTCTGAAACAAGCCCCTTCAAGCCGAATCTTGAGTTTACTTTGGCTTGATCTCACGCAATGTATTGTGGTAGCTAATTAGTAATTATTTAGTATTAATCTACTTCTGTTTTTTCTAATGACTAGTCTCTCGATATTCATATTAATTGAATAAGTTTTGTTTTAAGCTTAAATCTTAATGTCCTCTCGGAAGGTTGTAAAACGCTGTTTCTTTTTCCTTCTCAACTGAGAAGAGCTAGTCAAAGAATCGGATACTAAAGGGACAATAAATGTTAGTATGTTTCTTTTGTTGAACGGTTACAATCCAATGTTAAAGGGACGGAAATGTAAATAAAATTAATAATAACAGAGGCAAAGGAAAGAAATAAAAGATAAAAAGCAGAAAGAAGAAAAGAGGGGAAAAGGTTTTAAAAGAGAGATAAAAAGGACATGAATGAAAAAGAAAGCAAACAAGTTAAAGAGAATGGGTAAAGTTAATTTAAAAGAATATCTATATATTTTTCCACTAAATTTATTTTGTCAAGAAAAATTGGGTGTGATTGTGTGAATTATGGTTAATAATATGATTAATGATTACCTTTATGATTGCCCTTAAGATCTTAGAGGTGGTATAAAGCATATGAACTGTCTGTCACCATAAGCTTTTCGAAAAGATAATTAACTTGTGCAATAAAGCAAAGAATATATCTTTATTCTCTTAAAAGAAAGCAATATCTCGTATGTTTTTAGGTCCAAAGTATGAATTCGGGACTTGTTTCTTGAAATACTTATATATATATATATAATATACATATATCAGTATGCATCACTAAAGTTCATTGAATATATTTGATAGGGGAAAAAAGTAAAAGACAAAAGAGAAAAATAGAATATTTGTATGCGTAAGGTAGATTCCCACCAAAGAATGTTTAGCTCATTGCTTTCACTTAGGAGGTGTTTGATGTTTCCTCACTCGTCACCACTCGAGCAATCCGATAGTCAAAATGAGTAGATTGACGTTTCTTTGAAAACTATAACGTTCATAATCTGGCTAGTTTTCTTACGCTATGTAACTAAATACTAAAGAGAGAATTAGGCAAATGCCCAAAATCCAAGCCAATATTAGGCAATTACCCATGATGGGACATAAGAGTAAAGTTTTTTACAATTTTGACTTGTTCAGACGATTTCGCCCTTCTCACTTTCTCTTTCCCATGTGAAATATCTGACTTTTCTCTCTCTTCCTCCAACGATTCTTCATTTCTTTCTTACATTCATTTTATTTAAACCACACATATTTTTTACATAACTCTTTTTCACATTCATTTCTTTTTTTTTCTCTTGATTTTTGTTTCTCATCTACAATTTTATTTGTAGATAATTTTTAAATTTACTCATTTTGATAGAGAAATGAAACTCCAACAATATTTATTTGTTAACATATAAAACCTAACGCATGTATTGACATCTACAAAATTTATTAACAACTAACATCTCTGTTAACACTTGTAATACATGTCTTTGTTAACAGCTAACACATCTGTTAACATTTACAAAATTTGTTAACAGTTAATGCCTCTGTTAATACTTCCGGTACTGTATTTGTTAACAGTTAACACTTTTGTTAACATCTACATTATTTGTTAACAGCTAACATACGTGTTAATATCTCGGCGAATTTTTAAAAAACTTCAATGCTGATTTTTTCAGAATATGGTGAAATTAGATTCAAAAGAATAGTAGTAAAATTGTAATAAATTTTTTCGCAACAATAAATTTTTACAAAGAAAAAAAAGGAATTAACATGATAAGAGAGTTTGAGAATGAGAAAGAAGGGGAGTTAAAGGAAAGAGAGTGTCAGGAGAGAGAGTGTGTCAGAAGTGAGAGAGAAAGAGAGTCACATGCATCTAAAGGAAGGGCAATTTCGTCACATAAAATGATCAATCCCATCATGGTTATTTGCCTAATATTGACTCTCAAAAGGGTATACTAGCAAATTATCTCAATACTAAAAGTGTTACTTTTTGCTCAAAAAAAAAAAAGAACAACTAAAAGTGTTACTTTGATAGGACATAACAAACCAAATCTATAGTTTAAGCTTTTTTAAGAAGGATAAATCGTAGTAGCTTACCGGTTATTACTGTGACAGTTATCTATTTCCTGTATAACCACTGTCTTTATGACATTATTGTTCATATAGTGGTAGCAAACTCTAAATCATCTGTTTGCCAAATTAATCTTGAAAACATCAAGTGAAAGAGTATACAAAACAAGTGATTTTTTTTTTTTTTGCAGCATGGAGATTTCCTCATCTGAGCTCAAATACCAGGATTAACTCAAACAACTACGGCATATACCAAATCATACTAAATCAAGATCAATGATTCGCAGTGTCTACTAGAAATTAGCACTCTTAATACATGTAGTTCTTAGATAAGTATATTGCATTTTGCAAATCAAGTAAACCTCAACCACTGCCAGATTATTCATTTACTGTCTTTGTGAGAACGTGCTAATCTTGAGTCAATCATGACATACATTAATCTTTCTACGGTATATATGTTTACCTTCTATGTCTTGTGGACTTAAGCTTTTAAATGCGAAATGTGAGCCAACTAGAATTAGAAAAGTCTATTGTACCAAAATTTTTAAGTACTAGGCTCCAAAGATTTCTATAGTGATTAGTTAAATCATGGTAATTTGCATACCTAGATTTTCCGTTGCTTGCCTAAAACCTTTTTTCCGAACTTGATGTTTAAACTCCCCTAAATCTTCTGCATTCTCATATGTTAAGCAAAAGCCTCTATATATGACCAAAAGAGAAATCTACAACTAAAATATTCATTGAAATAAATCAAATTACAATAATTTTTAGCTATGATCATGTCAAGTATATGTTCCAATAAACTAGCTAAAATTTATTCATAAACCAAATAATAGATTAATTTCCAATTTGACTGTGGCCATGAGTATTCAGTTACCCTTTATTAATAATTTAATATACACTTGATATAAAAAAATTGTCATACCTCTTTTTCTAACAAAATGGAGTAATTATTTTTTTGTTTGTTATTCAATTTTTCATTTCATTTTGTAATAAATTATGAAGTGTAGTTGTAGATGCTCTAACTTTGGCAAAAGAAATAACAACAAAAACTGAAAGAACAATTATAATCATAATGATCCAAAATCTTGAGAAAAATAAGGGTGGTGGTCTTCATTTATGGGTACTCGCATTTGACAACTGAAACACGGCCTGGTGTCATTATCACGTCACGTGCATAGTGAAACATTCGAAACATTTTTAATATACAATATCTTAGTATAATATAAAATTCAAGTTTCGAAAGCAAATAGAATATGAACGGCATGCAAAAGGTAGTAATCATTCACCAATAATGGCAACAATACCCATCCACTCATGTAATTTAATTAAACGTTATCACATGGTAGTATTTTGCAAACGAAATATCCACACCAAACTAATATAATTAAGGGAAATTAGGTGAAATGGCCATGAAAAAAAACTAAATTTAGTAACTAACTAAAATTTCCCCTTCTCTCTTCATTTCTCTCCCTGTCTCTCTCTACTCTCTCATTAGAAAACTAATTTTCCTTTTTTTTTGGTTATTTGGCAAATAAACCCTATAATTAATCAGTTTATACAGCATGAAACGCAGATCTAACATATTTAAATTGTAAAATGATCTTTTGCTTTTAGTTAAAATTATAAAATGAATATAAATATTGATTAAATATGTCTAACTAATTGTCAACTCAAGTTTGGTTAGATTTTACATGTATACAAGTTCAAAGTTGTTTTTGGTTTTAAGTTTTAACATATCAAAGTTGAAGGTGCTAATGAAATCCTATCTGTCTAATGAAATCTTATCTGTTGCCCAGAAAAAAATTAAAGTGGAAGGTGTTATAAGGACACATTTTTAAAAATAATGAGATAAGAGCATCTCCAATCTAAATGGAGTAATTTTATTTTTGTTTGTTCATCACTCTATTTTTTTTTTGTCGTCAACTTAAAACAAACTCTAAATAGACTCTGCAAACCAAACTGGTAAATCGGCATCCATATGAACAACATAAGAGGATTGCTTCCTGACACTGCGTGCGAGGCTGTCCGCCTTGGTCTTTAGCGTTCTTGGTATATGGATGATCTCTGAGTGCGTGAAACTTTCTTGCAGAAGCTTTATATCATTCAAGTAATTTGCAAAGGCTGGCCATTCGTCTGGTGCTGAAACCATCTTCACCAACTGAATACAATATGTAGCAAACGTGACTTGAAATTGACGTAAATTTTTCATGCACTCCATTGCCCATATGAGAGCTTCAATTCTATCTCCAAATGAAGTGGGGATAGAATTGCTCTTGTGTTCCTTGTTCTCAAAAGTCCTTCAAACTCTTGAAGAGTACTATACCATCCCTGCCCCGAGAATTTTTTTTGATCTTTCCAAGATCCATCCGTAAAACACCAATGCCCCAGTATCTGTGGTAGCCTAACCTCTTCATCCGCATGGTATTTTGGGATTACTTGCCTTAATGATTCTTGGGCCTCCCTCCATAATAGAGATTCAGTCTTTGCCACTTTGAACGTATCAGTTGCCTCCACATCAATATTACTGAAAACTTTATTATTCCTAACCTTCCAAATATACCATAAAATCCAAGCAAATTAGTGGTCCTCCATCTCGGGCTTTACCCTCTAAAAAAGATGATCCATGTTTGTGAATAACGCCTTGGTAGGGAAAATCTCTTGGTTTGAAGGGATTTTGGAGAGTGCCCATACTTGTATCGCCGGAGGGCATTCGAAGAAAACATGGTTAACTGATTCCTCGCTAGCTCCACATCTCGCACAATGTATGTCCCCTTGTATACCTCTCCCCTTGTACTTCATCACCGGTATGCATCCAGTTACAATCTGCCAAAGGAAATGTTTTATCTTTGGTGGACATCAGATCTTCCAGACATGGGCCTTTAGCAGTGTTACCGTAGGTCCATACTCCATTGGTTTTTTCTCCCTATCTGGATATACTCTCTCCACATGATACCCTGATTTAACCGTATACCTTCCATTGGTTGTGAAGTGCCATCCATCATGTTCTTACAGTCGATGTTTACTTAGAGGAATACTTTCAATAATCTTCACGTCCTCCGGATCTACTATAGCCCGTAGTGCCTGAGAATTCCATGTCCTTGAAATGGGATCGATAAAAGAATCCACAGTGAGATTTTGGATGAGATTTTGTTGATTAGAATTGACTGGTCTCGGGCG